CCGGCTCCTGTAGTTCCGCGGCGCCCGGGGAGGGGGCCGCCGACGGCGCCCACCGCACAACCCGCACGCTCGGGGCCCCTGGCACCCCCGGGTGCGGGAGAACTCGGGTCCCCGCGCCCACGGCCCGCTCCTGGAGCCCGCATCGCAGCAACCGCCCCAAACTCTTACTTCTGTTTATTGTTTGTCAGCCTTTGGGGTCCGGTTCGCGGGAGGGACGCGGGCCGGCGTTCCCGGCCCCGGTCGGGACAGCGCCCCTCCGACGCGGGCAGGCGGCGACGAGCCGGCCCCTGGGCTCGGCAGAGCGGGGCTGCGTGGACGCGCGTCCCCCGCGCCGGCCGGGTGGAGCCTGCGTCCTTGCCGCTCGTCGCCCGCTGGCTTTCCTGAGTGAAAGTTTCGGTGCCGGGACGAGCCCACGCTGCGCAGAGCGGCGGAGGCCGCGGGCCGCCGCGGGCCGGGGAGCGCCGGGCGGAGTTGGGCTCCGGGCCGCAAGCCCAAGCGGCGGCCCGGAGCCCGACGCGGCTCCCCCCGGCGCTGCCTCCCTTCACCGCCACCGCCGCTGAGCGACTCGGGCCGCTTCACACGCAGGACGGGGGCAACTTTTCCTCCGACTCAACTCGGAGCGTGGGTCTCCCTCGCCCCAGCGCCCCTCCTTTCCATGCCCTCCCTTTTCATCCCTCTCTTGTCTGCACCACCCCCAGGCAAAATATTGCTACTTCACGGCTCCAAATCTGGTCCCTTTTGAATATATTATTTATTTTCTTTGACTAAAAGGCTTGAAGTCAAAGTGATTTTGCGCTACAAAAAAAAAAAAAAAGAAAAAAGAAAAAGAAAAAGAAAAAAGAAGTGTGAACCTTCATACTGTTTTGGTACATTGCGATCTGACCATTAATCACCTACCTGAAGTTTTATGCTTCATATAAAATGTTTATTCACCACTCCCTTAAAAAACCTGCTACCACTTCTTGCCTTCATTTAGCACGAGATAACGGTTTAACCGGAATACTTTCTGGAAGGCTAAAAAGTATCAATAGTTTTTTCTCTCCTCTCTAGATTCTGGATTTATTTCCCACATGACATCCTTTTCTTATTGCAATATCTAACAGTAAAAATACCGGCTATTTGATCTCAGAAGACTCTTAAACGCATCTTTTATGTTGAAATGGTCTGTTTGGGATTTAGGCCTAGCATTAATAATGGATAGCAGTTGCTTTTAGTTATTGTAAAAGTTTTTATTTTTCCCTAACAAACTTCCAAAGTTCCTATTTTAGTAAGTTGTGGAAGTATGGAATGAAACTTTTCCAACCACTTCTGGCAAGGTTCACAATTGCATATGGATAAGTTGCAAAGTGTTAAGATAATTTGAATGAGTTACGACTTCAGTGAAAATGCTGAGATTCTAGCATTCTAGCTGAAATTCTAGCTGGCAAAAGTTTGCAGCACATAGAACTTGTAGATAATACCAGTGTGCTGCCATAATAGGATGCAGTAGCATCTTCTCAAGTGAGCTCTCAAAGATAAATTTATATTTTGGGATGTTGCATATAGGAGGATACCTGTGTATCCATGCAGGCCCAGGGCATAGTCAGGTATTTAACAAAGTTGTATTCTCTTGGTCCTTGAGTTATTATCATATTAAGAAAGTTATTTTTTTGTAAACATATTTGGCAGTGCAATTGATACAGTCACTAGGCCTTCTTCTGGAAACACCACTAAGACACGCTTACTTAGTGTAACAGTTTGCGAAGAAAATGTACACTAAATAGTGAATGAAGGCCATATATTTTATGAGTTCTTCTTTTAAAAATTGATTTGCAATTTATTTAACTTGCTGGAATATTTATGGAGCTTTAGAACCAGTTTTTAAAAGAAAAACTTAGGTAGTTTATTGGTCATTAAAGAAAGTCCAGTAAGCACAGTGATAAAAGTACTCTAAATGAAAGAATAAACTCTATATACATGTATGCAATTTTAAAAAACTTAATCAGGAAAATGCCAGACATCTTATTTTAATCCATATAGGAATATTGTAACCAAATTATGTACCTGGCCACAGAATGATAACATAGTAGAAATTTATAGGTGAACGTTAGAGTAGTTCCAGAAATATCAGCATTCAGTGGTTCTTAAACTTGGCTTACTTACAAACAGATCATCGTTTAAGGTGCTGATTCAAAGTCATACACTTTTGAAACAGGTTTTCAGGTTTGTTTTTATTGGTGGCCTATAACTTTCTCATGGAGTACATTTGTAAAATATTCTTTGTTTTCTCTTGAATAATTTGAAATACTATATAGCTTATGGCTATATGTGCAACAACAAGATTTGTAAAGATATACTGTTGTTTTTTTAAACTACTGTATGTTATGCCTGGACATTTCTACAAGTTAATGATATTCTTTAGTTTTGATGTACTGGAATATTTCTAATAGTGAATTGAGAAAGACAGCTAGCGTTTTAACTGTGCGTGTAAGCAAATATATAGAAAATATTGTGCACTTTTATTGCACATTCTTGAAACCTTTGAGGAGTCATAAGTTGTAAATACTTTTGATGCAAAATTAGGGACTTAGATTATTCTTAATGATTAGTTGACATAGTTGGCCGCATTTAAGGATTTCTATGAGATATATGAGCATTTGGTTGGCAGGTAAACAAAATCCTTTTGAACATGAATGAATGCAGTTCGCAGTTCTCTGAGAAGCATATTGGGAGTATCTTCGAGCACTTAAATGCCATATTAGAATGTTTATTTAAAATGTTTATTATTAATAAAGCTTTTTAATAAGATAACATTTTAACGTAAATACTAATTGTTTGGAGCTAAGTTATCCTTTCCATTATAAAATGAGGCTGAGACTTTAAAATGAAATCCTCCTTTTGGTGAAAGCTCACTTTGAAGTTAAGGTTGACTCCAGGAGTTCTTTGCATAATACCATACAGCCTTGGTCCCTAGCATGTCCTGTGTATATAAGAAAATTAGTCAATGTGAAGGACTGTTTCAAACCCCAAATTTATGTATTTTAGAATATTTCAAGGATGAGCTCAGAATTTAGTAATGTTTAAATGCTTTGCGGTTTGGCGTGTACCTTATTAGATAAACTGTGACTTGAAAAATGCCCCCCCCACCCCCATTTCTCTCTTCTATAGCATGGCAATAAGAAAGATTCTCAAACATCAGAAATTTTAAAATGCTAATGGTTTTTGGTAAAGAATAATATAATTCTTGTATTTTCCTCTGTTCCCCCTTCACTTAAAGAGTGCTTACATGTTATAAAAGCTGACTTCTCTTTTGGATTCTTTTATTGAAAAAGAGCAGTTTTCAAAGCTAAACTTGAAGTACAAAGCCTGAAATTTGTTCGGAGAGGAAAAAAATAATTGTCAGTTATTGAAATGATTTATTATGCATTATATTAATATATACTAACTTTTAAAACGCCAGCCAGTCATATGTATTGTTTAGATGATTGATTATAAATTGCAGTATTTCAAACAGACTTCATTGTTAAAATATTTTACCAATTTTAACCACTCAGTTTGCATTTGAACATTTAAAAACTTAATAATTGTTTTATTAGTAATAATATTTTGGACCTGCAGTTACTTTTGTCTCCAAAGTATATATTTAGATGGATATTACAAACTGAAAAAGAATGCATTTTATATTTGTCTGTCCTATACCCTTTTAAAAAAGTCATCAAATATCTCTTAGATTTTCTTATCGTCATTTATTTGAAGTAAATAATTTATCTATGATGGGTTGTATAGCGGAGAGAAGTTATGTAAGATTGGTGTGGGTTGGTTAATCAAAAGTTAGATGTACTCAGATAGCTTTGTGGAGGTTACTGTTTAATTTTTGTTTAATTTTATTTTTATATTTACTAAGAAAATGTCAAATAAAAGAAAAAAATTCAGTAAAGCAGTAAGAAAAATTTAAATATTTTAAATTCAATTTTATTTTCAAACTACTTGAATTTTAAGAGGCAGCCATGAGGGTTTTCGTGGTCTCGTAAACATTGAATATAACAGGTTCTGTTTCCGATGAGAAAAAGCCTGAAATATTATTTTCAAAAATTAAATAATTCTGTTTTTTAGGGATGATCATTACTGAAGGCATTTCACAATCATATCAGTAAATTAAATATATTTAGTTGCAACACTGTTGTCACAATGACGCATTCTGTTTACTATCTGGCATGTACTCTTTTCTTTGTTTTGTTTTTTTCCTTCCCTCCCCTCTCCTTTTTGTTTCATTCCCATAATATCAGCAATGATGTCTTGGACATAGATCTTTTATTTTAGTCTGATGAATATCAGATTTATCTCTTCTTTTTTATGTGGCCCCTGCCACATTTTTCTAAGTTTTTGACTAAAAAAAAAAAGTATGTGCAACTGTAATACTTAAAAAAGGAATTAAGGTGTTACCAAACCCACTAAGAAATAGATCAGAGTCTACATGCAGTGTTTTCAGAGGGAAAGTTTATATTTTCATTGATCGCAGAGATGATTTTTGCTCCTAGACTTCCATAAACATTGACTGGCATCTAAATGTTTAGGATTTGCCAATCTGGCGGCTGAGCCTGGCTCTACTACAAGTAGTGAGGTCAAGGCTGGAGCAAAATTAGATATGCCTTCCTTGAAATAGGGTTAAGATTATATATTGTTATAAGCATGTCAATGAACTTCACTTACAAACTAAAGGATTGGGGACTGAGGCTTGACCATAGAACCTGGGACGTTTTGGTGAACATACCAAAACATTTACAAAATTTTTTAGCAGTTTGCTTCTTTGAGATTGTGAGAAATGATAGTGGTGGTTTTCTTTTTTTCCCCTCTCAGACTTCCCATAGGGATCCTGTGTATGATTTTGGTAATGTAATCCTTGATTCAAATTTCAAGTGAAATAAGGCTGTATTTTTTTTTTAAGGTGACCATCTGAAAAGAAAAGTTATTTCCTTTTGTTTTCAGCCTAGTCATATTTTTGTTTTTATTCATTTCCCTAGGATGAATTTCATCCTTTCATCGAAGCACTTCTGCCCCACGTCCGAGCCTTCGCTTACACATGGTTCAACCTGCAGGCCCGAAAACGAAAATACTTCAAAAAACATGAAAAACGTATGTCAAAGGAAGAAGAGAGAGCCGTGAAGGATGAGTTACTAAGTGAAAAACCAGAGGTCAAGCAGAAGTGGGCATCTCGACTTCTGGCCAAGTTACGGAAAGATATCCGACCCGAGTACCGAGAGGATTTTGTGCTTACAGTTACAGGGAAAAAGCCTCCATGTTGTGTCCTTTCCAACCCAGACCAGAAAGGCAAGATGCGAAGAATTGACTGCCTCCGCCAGGCAGATAAAGTCTGGAGGTTGGACCTGGTTATGGTGATTTTATTTAAAGGTATTCCGCTCGAAAGTACTGATGGTGAGCGCCTTGTAAAGTCCCCACAGTGCTCTAATCCAGGCCTCTGTGTCCAGCCCCATCACATAGGGGTTTCTGTTAAGGAACTCGATTTATATTTGGCATACTTTGTGCATGCAGCAGGTAAGTGCGATGGTGAGAAATCCTTCCACTTTCTTGTGTGTGTTTCTTTCCTGATAACCTCTGTATCATGCTAGGCCATTCCTGAACATCCTATGTTGTAGGTCATGTACATATAGACAGTGTGGTTTCCAAGGTGGGCCAAAGTCAGAACAGCCAGACGCCCCAGTGTCTGAGGTGCCACCTTCATTCGGGTGGAAAAGCATAGCTTTGAGAGAACTCTCCCTGAGTTTAGTTTTTTTTTTTTTTTTTTTTTTTTTTGGTAAGTAGTGTTATCAAAGGTGTTGGGTTGTCAGTTATGTGATTTATTTAAATTGCATTTTTTGATGATGGGTGAGAGACACCTCATCAAAAGCCTTGTATAAAGAGTATATTTTAACTGGCAAGTGATCTAGTTAAAAAAGCATTTAGTTTGGTAGTGAGGCAGTATTTTTAGTTTCTTTTCTTCTGGGAGTGTTTTTAACCTATTGGGGCCTCTTGAACCCCTTGCTAATTAACAAGAGGTAGGAGGTAAAATTACTGTCCAATTGCTGATCATTTATGAAGGAAAAGAATTACATTAATACGCAAACTTAGTAGCTTTGTATTTAGGAACTTTTAGTGTTGTCTAAAATAGCTAACGGAAAAAGCAAACTAACTCTTTAAGTAATTGAGGGGGAGGTTAACCTTAAAAGTAACCAACCAACCTGTATAGTGCATGAATGCATTGAGAAACCGATAATTGATTCAGTGAGCTGCTTTGATTTGTCCTAAAATTATTTATTGTTTCAAAGCTGTTTTCAAGTCATGTTTTACCTGTGCATGTTACAGCATTTTGAGTAGTATTCAGGATAAAACTATTGAGGATTGGATAAAATAATGCATTTTTACTTTGTTCCTTTCGTCTTGTTTTAGACAGAAGGCTTATTGTGTTATGTGAAAGCTCAGGTCTTGTGTGACTTGTTGACTTTTTATATGTACATATTGGTCTTGCTAGATCACCTTCATGGCATTTACTTGAGCCAGATGGAAAAAAGAAGGTTGTGGAATCCTACCAGTAGATTGTTTTGGGGTTCATAAAATTACGTACTTTTTTCACAAGTGAGAGAGAGGATGTTACCTGTTAAATCAACACTGTACTGTTTTGCAGAACATTTTTAATTCTAAAAATGTGAACTATTTTTTAAAGAAGCCAGCTGAAACCCCATTGTCCATTATTTTGCTTAATACATGTTTTAGAAAGAACTTTTGTGATCCATCTGTCCTTACATAAGAAACTGGAGAAATTAACTTTGCAAGCATGACGCATCATCATTTCCATGCTGTTGGCAGGGGATAGATTAGTATTTTAGGATGTGATCTATATAAGTGTTTCAAATATTTGGGTTTCTGAAAATGTATACTTAATTATAAGAAGTGCCTGTTGCTTTAGCCAGTTCTGGGTGGCAAAAAACGAAAAGGCAAGAGTTCTCAAATAACCTCTAAACAGGAAAAGTAGCTCGTTTTTAACCCCCCTTTCATCCTATTGTTGTTCCTTTGTTTTGTCTATTGAATAAGCAAATTTAGAATTTAAAAAAAATTATTTTCATATATAAATGGAGATTCTGATAGAAAAAGGTATGGTGCAAAAAAAAAAGGATGGGTGTTATAAGTGCTTTCAGGGAGCACTCTTTAAAATCTTGTGTTTAATCTTTTCAATATTTAGAAAAGTCAGTAAATTATAAATTACAATAAATGCTCTAATTGAAAATTGAGGATACCAACAGGTGATGCACATCATGGTTTTTGCTTCCTCACAAGGTAAAATCAAAATGAAACACATTACGTTTTTATTGGTGTGAGCAGCATCCATTCTAAGTTTTAGACATAAACATTTCCCTTGGATTTAAAAAGATGCAACTTTTCTAGCTATTGCCATTTCATGTATTCTTTTTTCTTGTTGACATTGTTACTGTGCTGTTGCTCTAAATCCTTGAGCTAACAGTTACTGGTTGTTTCAATACCTGAAAGGCGATGTTGGTGAAATGACATGTAGAAAGTTGCTTAGGAGAGTTAGCATCCTTATTGCTTATGAAAGATTTATTGACAGCAACATGGATCAGACTACCTTTCGGTTTGGTTTTCCTGATGTGTCCCAGAATCCCTTGTTAGGCCTGAATGCCAGCCAAGTGTTAGGCCATTGGCTTTTACCGGAGCTCAGTAATGGCTGCTGCTCTGTGCGCGCAACAGGACGATTGCAAAAGAAAATATTAGGGTCCTTTTGTCTGAAAATATTTCAGATTTGATTTAAGAGATTTAGAGACCTGTTATTTATGGAAGGGAAGCTGCCAATACAAATAGGAGGTAGATCGGTCAACTTACATACAACTGATTTGACAAGCATCTGTTATAATACTGAAGATTTGTAAACACTAAACAATGTTTTTACCTCCTTAAAAGTTTTGAGAACTTGCCAGTGTTGGCAGGAGGCAGAAACTCTGAAACGTGCTTCAAGAAACATGCCAAAACCATTGTGGCCTTTTCACCTAAGTACGTTTTGTTTTTTGTTTTTTTCCCTCTCTCTCTTTTAAAATGTTAAGTATTTTTTTTTATTCCAGAAAGTCCTCTTTTTTTCCCTAGATGGCCACAAAAATGAGATTTGTTTTTTCCTTCTAAAAATTGTGTACAACAGTTATTGCTTTATGCTTGGGCCTCTTCTTTGGTAGGAAGTTGAAATCTTAGAACACAAATGTGAATGCTGGAAGCTAATGCAGAATCAATCAGTTTTTAAAAGCGGAGGTGATTATTCTAAGATGTTTTCAGATGCTAAAATACAATAGGTAAACTGCATTGCAATTTTTTTCTCTAAATCCAGTGGCATTAGAACTGTGTGAATTTTGTGGCTGGTAAACTGTAACAAGTGTCATGAAATCACAGTGATTCCATAAGCCTGAGAATTTCATCTCGTTAAAAGTATAAAAGAGTAAAATCATTTTATGCCTTTAGTTTGGTCTCTGTTTGTCTTTCTTATTTATCACATGACAACTTGGAGACATGGTGTTGTGGCAAATGGTTTTCTTTGTGGGTGTGTAACAGTAAAGCTAATTTATGACCAGTCTTTACCAGATGATCTGTATCAGAATCTACAATATACCCGGCACGTGGCAAGGTCACAATTTAAGTTGTTAAGGTCATAACCTTAGCCACCAGGCATTTGACCTTTTAGATAAAGTTAACCTTTGTTCATTAGTAGGCACTCAACCGAGAACTTTCTGGAGAGTTTCTTTTTTTTTTTTAAACTGCTTCTGTATAACTTCTGGCAATGTAATCAGATTCTAGAAGGATTTTCAGTTGAGTTAGTTAAATTGGTAAGAGGTTAGACTTTTTAAGAACGCATCCCTTTAGAGGTATCTTGCTGTATATAGAGCATACAAAGACAGTGTCACAATTTATTTTTGATAGTGATTACCTGCTATGGAGTAGAATGAAAGCTTTGAGGCAGTTGTGTGGAGATGTTTAAAACTAAAATTAAACAAATAGAATTATGTTTAATTTAACTAAGGCCCACCTTCAAGTGGCATTAGGCCCAAAAACTAAATCACAATGAGCATCTTCACTTTTTTGCAGATGAGGAATTTTCTAAGATTGCAAGTAGTTTTAGCGGTCTTAAAATTCACTTTGAAAGACTAGAAAATGAGAAAAATTTGTCACATAATTGCTGTAATTGTTAGCTAGTGACAGAGCAAATTGACTTTGTCCTAATGGTTAGCATGGACACTTGTTAGTGTTAAGTTGTAGAGCATGGACATTTTTGCGTGGTAATGTTTTAGTACAATAGTTTGTGATTGCTTCCATGCTACCTCGGTTACTACCTTTACTTAGTTTTGCTTGGACTAGGAATAGCAAAGGTCCCGTCACTCACTGAAAGAGCTGTTGCAGTGCCTGGGAAGTCTGGTACCTGTCCCGTAAGCCTGTATGGCAGTATTACTGATTACCACATCACCTGTACCATATTGTTCACTTAATTATGCTGGCATGAATGCTCATTTTAAATTATTTGCATTACTGCTAGGTTTGCTCTGATACGCCACGTATTATTCCATTGAGAGAGAGAGAGAGAGAGAGAGAGAGAGAGAGAGAGAGAGAGAGAGAGAGAGGAGGAGGCAGGCTCCCATTCAGGTGCATTTTAGTTTTATTTTGGCTTCATGATTGCCATTCCTTCATATAGTAATAGAGAAAGCCGTGATATGCAGATAGACCAGATGGTCATGTTGACAGATTGAGAATTCACTTCCTACTGCTTCAGAGCAGGTGTAAGATTAGGAGTGTCTGTATATGAGCGTATGTGTGCTTCGTGTGCATGTGTGTGCACATCCAGGCTGCACGGAGTGTTTCGAGCAGTGGGGATGATTTCTTTTTTTTAAAAAAAACTGGTAGTTTAAATACAGTGTAACTGTATGCATAAGGTTATCAGTGCACACAGAGTAATTATTTTTAATGAAGGATGTTAATTGTTACAGTTTATAATTTTATGCCAAATTAATTATGAGACTTTCTTAATGTTCAGGTAACTTAACTGCATTAGTTTATGGCAGTATTGCATATCTAATATAGTCAGTGTATTCTGTTAGCAGTTGTATATGTGTATGTGCATACGCTCACGTCTAGGACTATACATTAGATAATTCAACTTCTTCAGTACTTTAGTAAACTCCCTGGTAGAAAGTTGTGCAGTTAGTTCCTGTGATTTGTAATAATAAACTGTGTTTGGAAAATAAGGAGTAAGACTAATAATATACAGTGATAATTGAAATTAATAAAGTACTACCCTATCGCAAATTCTAACTCTAACCTTACACCAAACTCATGATGGATTTTGTGGCAGACTGATGTACTGTAAATTATGGGTATATGCACACAGTTTTAGAAAATTTTGTTTATCTTCATTTGTCTTGCATTTCTTCAAAGGAGATAGCTCTATCAACAAGCTTAAGATAATTATGGCTTTTATATGCTTGAGTGTTTTCTGCGAAACTTGAGGACAG